TGAGTTGGTTTGATTACCAACTTGATCTACGGAAGAAAATTTTCTTTTTGATTTATTTGATCCATCCAGATTGTGTTAGTGTTCTTGACTATATTAATAGTTACTGTTATTATGTGTGAATGTGCACAAAGTTAGCTATCAACTCACACAGAATCATTATATGGATTTTTTTCTTCAAATTTTCTTTTGAGCATGAATGAAAATGTTTGTTTTTCCTCTTAGTATTTACCATACAATAGTTAGGGTAATTTCTTTTGGAAACTTTGCACATTATATGAAGGCTGAGTAGTGATCTTTTATAATTTTTTTTCTGTTTTCCCATCTTAGACTAAATGTCCACTTTGCAGGCTCCTCAGACAAGTACACCGTCATCGGCACCAGTCCCGGCTCCAGCGCCGGTACCAGCTCCGGCTCCAGCAACAGTTTCTTCTACACCTGTTGAGACTTCAGCAGTGTAAGTCCTACTCCACACTTTTTTGAGACTTGAGACATAGAAGCTTTGTTACTGATTAATTTCCCTGTTATGTGTTTTTCAGTGCTGCACCTGTATCTGAATCTGCACCTCTGGCATCAAATACCACTGCGTTAGTAACCTTTTCTCAGATTGTAATTCCATGTATCCTGTTTTAAAGGGTGGAAGGCATGCTTTTTCTTTAATCCGTCTCTAAGTGCTTTCTGATTGGAAAGCTCCTGGTTGCCATGCATTTTTGTAATATATTCTATTATATCTTTGGGAACAGGTCAGAAACTGATGTTTATGGCCAAGCATCTTCTAATCTGTTAGCAGGAAACAACTTGGAGGGAGCAATCCAACAAATTCTTGACATGGGTGGAGGAACCTGGGATAGGGATACCGTTGTCCGGGCCCTTCGAGCAGCTTATAACAGCCCAGAGAGAGCTGTTGAATATTTGTATTCTGTAAGTATTCCTTGTATCTTACTTGAAGATGGGGAAGCAAGTGCTTTCTTGTTTGCAACCTGTTGCCAACTTTGCATATGGTTATTGACATGTTATTAGTTTAGACGCGGTAATTACTAATTGACCTAGCTCTATCAAGAGGTTATGTGGGACTGATGATTATGCCATTTTATCGTTTATAATTAGTCTATGATTAAATTTCCATGTGCCCAAATTACAATTTCTTCCATTTTTAGTCCCTTTTGACGTGGGGAGGAGTTTGTGAATTATGAATGAAGTGAAAGTTGGATATGTATATTATGGCGGGTTTTAATGCCATTTTATTCTGCCCTATTTGGCTCTTCTGGTCCTCTGCACAGTGTTATTTTCGTTTTTGAATTTTTTATATTTCATTTACCATGTATGTACATGACTTAGGAACAATCCCTCTTTTTGGTTGGAGAGAAGCTTTCATTTTATTTCGTTCCTTTTAGCTGCTGCTTCTCATTTCCTTTTCCATTCATTGCAAAATTTTAGGGCATCCCAGAGCAAGCTGAAGCTCCGCCCGTGGTCCGTGGCCCTGTAATTGGGCAAACAACGAACCCTCAAGCACAGCCTCAACAGCCTGCACAAGCAGCAGCTGTTCCCAATTGTGGACCCAATGCAAATCCTTTAGACCTCTTTCCCCAGGTATAGTTGATATGCAGTAAATATTAGTTAGACTGGATGACGGGAAGATTTAACCATCAACTCGATGGTCCTTTCTTGATACAGGGCCTTCCCAACATGGGTGCAGGTGGTGCAGAGGCAGGCACTCTTGATTTCTTACGCAACGGTCAACAGGTCTCTCTCTCCTTCTTTTTCTCTCTCCATGTAAATTCCTACCTAGAACCACACTCATTTGGCCTCTCTTTCTCAGTTCCAAGCTTTGCGATCGATGGTGCAGGCCAACCCCCAGATATTGCAGGTTATTTCTCTGGTCTGTTGTTTCTGCTAGCCATGTGCTTCCGTTTTTTTCCCTCACCTTTTCTGAATGGGTTTGCTTATTTTATTGCACAGCCTATGCTTCAAGAGTTGGGGAAGCAAAACCCGCATTTAATGAGACTTATTCAAGAGCATCAGGTTGATTTTCTTCGCTTGATCAATGAACCTGCAGAAGGCGGAGAGGGGTGAGTCCTATCACCTTTTGTTGCCAAGTTCTTGAACCTAGTTGTGCATGTGTATTGAATGCTTATATGCTATCTCCGGTACCATAGGAACATATTGGGGCAATTGGCTGACGCTATGCCACAAGCTGTACAAGTCACACCTGAGGAACGTGAAGCCATAGAACGGGTAGGTTTTTCTCATATCATCGCTATTTATTTTTTAGCTCTGAGCCAGTGTTCTGATCATGACAATTTATGATCGGCTTGTTTACAGCTTGAAGCGATGGGATTGATCGAGCAACTGTCCTTCAGGTGTTCTTTGCGTGCAACAAGAACGAGGAACTAGCAGCAAACTACCTTTTAGATCATATGAACGATTTTGAGGATTAATTTGGTAAGAATATAATTGGTAGGGGAAGTACATTTTTTTTCCTTTGCTTTTGGTATTCATGTTCCTTCCCTCCCTCCCTCCCGACCCTTTACGCATTTGTTTTAAATTTCTTAAACAAGTGAAGTTGTTTGGTGCGGACACAAGGGTTATATATGTCTAAGATGTTCTTTTTTATGGACCATTATTATGACGTTATATACAAATCGTCTTTCTATTATTCGTGAGCCTATTTGCATGCGCGTTTGTTTACTGTGTGTTTAAATTTTAGTTATTTGAATTCCATCGATTTTTAAAATAATCATTAAATCAGAAAATGATATTTAGGTTTATATTTAGCATTTGATTAATTTGTTAATCGGGTTGAGAAGTTATAAAATTATTCTTTTAAAATAATAATTATTATACTTTTTATATTTTTATATTATTATTTTAAGGAGAGAATTAAAAGTTACTTATATAGAGATTAAAGTCACATTTGGTATAATTTATTGGCAAACTTGTATTAACTATTTGTTGAATAACTTTTATATATGAATATATACTTGTAATTCATAATATGAGTGACAAAATCTATATTATATAAAGTATATGCAATGTGGATATTATTGTAAAATATTGAAAATATAAATAAGTTTTTTTAAAACTATTTTTAACTTAAGATTCGATATATATGTGCGCGTGTGGTCGCGTAGGTGTGTGGACGTGTGGGTGTGTGTGCGCGTGTGCGCACGTGCATGGGGGTGGGTGGCTGGGTGTATCCTTAAAAGTCGATAGTGATAACTGCAAGTACATAGGTGGTATCTTATCAGTTCTTCGGTAGTGCCGCCTCTAACAAGCTTGGTAATGACTAGGTGATTATTGATTGTTCTCATTAATGTGGAGTTGTTGCTTTCCGTTTTGTTTGAAAGTTTTCATTTTGAGAAGTCCATCTCTTCCTCTATTTTCCTGTATGTAACGTTAACCTATGCTGTGCTCCAACTTAAGAGCCTTGCAGATTTCAGATAACCTGGTAGATGTCTAACTTTGGTAAGTGTAGGAAGATTTCTGCTTGTTTTGTATTCTGTTTATTTATTTATTTTCTGGTAATAAAAGTTCATTTTTTTCTCTTGTCCCATGATTCATGTTACGTCATGTTATTAACATTATCTATTTTTGGGCAAATAAAAATAAAAAAAATAAAAGTTTATCCTTTTAAACAGTTTTATTGGGCATCAAATATAAATTTAATAAATTCTATTGCCAATCAAGGGCTACATTCTCTGGAAATTGCCAATTGGAATTAGGCCAGTCATTTATTCTATAATATTCTAATGACTATCAGCATGAAGTGGATTGGGGAAATTAATTGGCAGTTTTTTGGAGGAACATCATCAATTTTGAAGACTCTGTTGTCTTATTCAAAATCCTACCTCAGTTGTTTAGAAGAGGATGATATGTAACGCGAATTATTCGAGTTTGATTTGATTAAAATTTGATGAATATTGGATATGACTCGATTTTTAACAAGTCAAAATAAATTACTCTATCTCATAAAAATTGTCTATTATTGTCTGTTTTGGTCAATCTTTTTAAATTTTGACTAATTATTATTTATAATTGATAATTGATAAAAATATGTAAAATATATTTTAAAAACCTTCGATTAATTAGTTTTCAAATATATATTTTATAAAATTTAATTATTTAAAATATTTAAAATAATAAAAGTTAAAGTTTAAATTTTTTGATTTTTTAAAAGTCAACACGTGATAATTTTTATGGGACGGAGGGAGTACTTGATATATGACTAAAAAAATTTGTTAGCAACTTAAAAAAATAATATGTTAAAATTTTAATTTTAAATTAAATTATTATTAATATTAACATTTATAATGCTATTTTTCTCTCTAAAAATGCTATTTTTCTCTCTAAAAATGCTTAGTATAAGTTTTTTTTGTACATAAGGTATAAGTTCGAACTTGAACTGCCTCAAGTTTGAACTTCAACATAATTAAGTCAGAAAATGTTTCGAGTTTAAGTTTTTTCGAACTCAAACTTTTATAATTTTAAACTCGCAAATTTTTAAATCGAATCGAACTCAATTTTAATTTTTCGAACTAACTTAACAATACACAAACTTAACTCATCTCATTTACACCCTAAATACCAATATGACATGATAGATTAAATGAACTAAAAAATTGGTCCCATAAGCAATTTGGTTAAAACATAATTATTATAGGTGACAATTTTTCAGTGAAAAATAAAAATTAAAAAGTAAGATGTAGGGGCCCACCTGTGACTTGAAGGTATCTTTCAACTAAGCTTGAAAATGAACCCTTTCGCCAATTCCCTGTTTACCAGCTTAAGATGCTCTTTCTCCATCATCAAAAAAATGGAGTTGTTTCTTTAAATTGCTCAGTTTAAACAGGAGGCAAGTGGTGCAGTGCTTTCAGTCTTGAGATCGAACCGGAACCACCTTCTTCTTCTGTATGAAGTCCTTTAGCAGGTAAAGAAGCTATGGTTCTGCTACTCAGGCCATAAGAAAGTGGTCAGAAGATTTGAATTCAACAACCCAAGAGCTTCTTCCTGAAACCAGCCTGCCTCTGTTGAATCCTTATCGATGCCTCTTGTTTGTGCTTTAATCTCTCTCTTGTCATTCTTTTGCCTGTTTTTGATAGAACTGATCTTAACGTGTTTGGTGTGTTTATTCTATTTGCTGAAACTGCAGGTCCACGAAGTTGTTATTTCAGCAGATATTGGATGTGCAGATTGTCAAAAGAAAATTGCAGACATGATCTCCAGAATGAAATGGTATGTTTTCTTCATATCAGTGTGCATAATGATGATAGTTGATTACTTGATCTTTTCTTTAATGCTTTGACCCCCGATTCTAATTTTATTGTTTTCTTAGCAGATACAGATTCTGTTTTGGTAAATGTGTTGGAGAATAAGGTAACACTCACTTGCACATACCCCAAGTCGGCTTCAGCCCAAGTTCCTGTTATTTACAGGAACCCTGTCAGCACAATGGCCATCATCAAGAAGTTCTTCAGATCTTCCCGGCGATGATCGCCGATCACGGACATCCAAAATGCAACGGAATTCTTCGAGTTATGATATTCTTGTTAATATACTTTTTGTTGTAAGATGATTTTGTTCCACTTTTTGTTATCTCACTTGTACATAGAAACACAGTGCATTGTTGGATGTATTTGAAGTTACCAGCCAATTTCATTATCTTTGCTATACATTTTCTTCAAAGTATTATTTTTCTTGTCATTCAGGTAAACTATATCAAGGTAACTTGCTTAAATTTAATGCAAAAAGGAACCTTTCTGAATAAGAAAAGGATACTTCAGAATCCTGTACAGGTTAACACATGATTAGTTAACCAAATGGAGTAGGCCTTTCTGCTGGTTTATGCAGAGAATCAGATTCCAAAAATCAAACAATGGTGTTTTCATTAGAGAATCAATTCATCCCTTTAATTCCTCTAATTCCACAACCAAAAACCGGATTTTCCGGTCACTGATCTTAATTTCTTTAATCAGTCGTAAATCTCCATGTCATGAGGGCAAGTTTAAGTTTTAAACTTATATTAGGATTAGCTCATATTAATTACACATTAATATATTTGGAAAGAGTTAACACTAATGATCTTCATTTCTTCTTATTTTGCATGTTAGCAGCAGCTCTGTTGCATGGTGATGAGAGTTAACATAGATTGCCAGGATGTTCAGGAAACTAAGAAGAACCCTTCTTAATATGAAAGGTAAATTCTCCATTAACAGACATAAATTTCTGGGTCATTTTTCTGTCATAAATTATGAGATTCATGGTGGAAGAACGGAGCAAATCACCCTGGCCACTGAATGGTGTGCTCAAGTTCTCTTCCAGCTGAAGAAACCGTCCCTTAGTCCATTATTAGGCCTTGGAAAGCTTTGATTGAATGGAAGAAATTGTGCAGAAAATTATGATACCATGGGGGCAACTAGAAATATTTGAATCATTATGGACATAAATTTTATGTAGAATGCCTCAAATTCCATATTTTTAGGTATAATATTAAAATATTTTCGGAGGTCTATTACGGAAGCTGCTTCAACCCGGTTTGGGGTAGCCTACTATCTTACATCCCTCTACCCTATACATATGGGAAAAAGGGACAACCATTTTTTTTTTATGTTTGATGACGTGATAAATCTTATTATCAAAATGATAACATGATATATAAATGTATAAATGAATAAAATATGATACATATCATGTGTTTAAAGTTATAACATGATATATGATACATGTATGCAAATTAATTCGTAACATATGTCATGTGTATAAAGTGATGACGTGACATGTCTTTAGACATATAAAACTTATTATTTTATTGATGAATATTAATTATTAATTAATTAATGATTTTCACTTGAATAGAGCACATTTTATCTTAAAATAAAGTATTGAAGATTAATATTAAAAGTAAAGATTAAATTAATATTTATAAAATGTAGAGGTGAATTTTAATATAAAGTCTATTTTTATTGCTTTGGCAAACCTTCCCTCTCATTTAGGAAGCAAAAGAGATTGGGTGAAGAATGCCTTTTCCTACTTTTCCACGATATCTCTTTTTCACCCACTATGGCATTTTGTTTAGCAATGATTATTTTGTTTAGCAATGATTAATGCACATGAAAAAGTTTAGGGTAAACTACGTAATTAGTACTTAAACTATTAATTTCGTTTCATTTTAGTACTTAAATTATCAATTTCGTTTCATTTTAGTACTTAAACTATCAATTTCGTTTCATTTTAATACTTAAACTTTAATTTTTTTTAAAACCATACCTATAGTTTTTGTTTCATTTAAGTACCACACTATTAAAAACTTAACACATTTTGCACCTAAACTATCAATTTTTGTCTATTTTAGTACCTAAACTTTTCAAAACTTCACATTAAATTTTGAACAGATATATTAAAATGAAATAAAAATTAAACTTTAGATATGATTTTGAAAAAATTGAAAATTTAGGTACCAAATGAACCAAAAATTATAGTTTAGGTACTAAATACATAATTTATCCAAAAGTTTAATATAAATTGTTGAGTTAATCGATCGTATGAATCGACCAAGAGAGGGTTGAATTGGTAATTAAAATTTTGGTGGAAGCTTTGACAGAAAATTGAAAATATTTGCACAGTGATTTAGAGTGGTTCGACTTTCTCAACCAAAGTCTACGTCCACTACCTTAGCTATCCACACTAAGGATTTTCCACAAATTCTCTAATTTGTCTTTCTTTTGAGGACAAAGAGTAACCTTACAACTCCCTCAAGAATTGTACCCCAAATTATTGAGAACACTCTCTCTCAAAGAGAAACTTACAAATTTTGCAAACTTACAAAAAACCTCACAAGGTAGAATGTTTGCACAATTCTAGAACAAAAAAAGAACACTCAAAGATAAATACAATTGAGCACAAAGTGTGTTCTTGAAAGAAAAATGAATATTGAAATGATTTTGGCTTGAATTGCTCAAACTTGAGGTTTGATGTTTTCTCTCTTGTTTCTATCTTAATTCTTGTGTAATTCTTAATCCCCAATGGCTTCAGAACTTGTTTAAATACACCTCAAATGAATTCTGAACGTTGGAAATCTTGGCGGAGTCAATAGAGCCGTTGTGGTGTGAAATCCACTTCAAAAAGCTACTGAGAGCGTATGGGTATCGATACTCCTTCATAGGGGGTATCAGTACTACCTGTTATAAATTCAAATATTTCGACCGTTGCAAACCAATGGTATCGATACTGGCCAAGGATACCAGTACTACTTTGTAGTAGTATCGATATTGTCCAGGGGGCATCGATTAGGGCTGTAAATAAGACGAGACAGATCGTGAGCTACTCGAGATCGACTCGATCAAGGCTCGATAAATACTCAGATCGAATGGACTCGACTTGAGCTCGAGCTCGACTCGAATTTTTAACGAGCCGAAACAAGCTACTCAATACTCGACTCGAAAAGCTCGTGAGCAACTCGAAAAAAATGTTATATTATAATTTTAGATTTTTTAAAATTACATTATTAAAAATATATTAAAAATACACTATTGATAATTATAAAATTTTAAAAATATATAAAAAATTCTATAATACAACTACCTTCAAATTTTAATTTTTTTTAATTAACCAGCCCAAGTCCAATTGTTACATTGTACTTACCTCATAAATCGGTACCAAGTCGATTAAATAATGTCTTTGCAATGAACTCTAAACCCTAAACCTTAAACCTCAAACTCTAAACCTCAAACCCTAAACCTTAAATCTTAAACTATAAATCATAAACCCTAAACCCTTAATTTGATTATACGATAGGGGTTACGTTATGCACATGAAGGTAACATACAAATTATGCAAAATGATGTTATGTGAATCCTAAATAAATCATTAACATACTTATATATAAACATATCAACATGCAAAATGAATATACACAACTAATTAAAAAAACAATCCTAAACATAGATTAAATTAAGAGAAACCTAAATGTGAGGACTAATTTATGCTAAATATACTAACTTTAGAATGATGATTAAATTCACGTAAATGTAAAATTAAACTTACAAAATTGGAATTAGCTAGGATTTCACTTCTGGTTTTCCATATGAACAAAATCCACAACAAACTTACCTTTTACGTGAGGGATCAACTAGGATTTCTGATGCAAGTTCGATCAAAACATCTTCCCATCCGAGTGGGATTGGTTGATCATCAGCAAAAGGATAGCTGCATTGGCAGAGTCCTATAAGGTGGGGAAATGGATTGCATTCATAAATTTACTGGAAAAAGTAGGGAGATTTGCTTCAAGTTCTTACTTGTGTGCTTTGCAGGCTTCAAGAGCCATGATTGCTTTCGTCAAGTTTTGCTTTGATTTGGCAGCAATTTTGGCAGCAAAATCCATGGATAGGTCAAACTCCTCTTTCCTTGCAATCTGAACAAGTACCTCCATAATCTGCAAAGTTAACAGCCACAGTTTTAACATGATTAAATGTAAGCAATTTGGCAAGGAAAGTCATTTGGTGCCTTGTCAGCATCATAAAGAACTATAACTGAAATAAATACACAACATTATTGGCTTTGAGTTGATTGCTTTAAACTGTTCAAGAGGAAGTTTGCTTGAAGAATGAACCGAACCTTTGTAATTTGCCTTGAAACTAGCAGTGTTGATTTCAGGGGTAATTGCATAATCGACGCTTATTTCTTTGACTAATCCCATTAATGCATATTTAGCATTTGTTTCCAAGTTTACATTGAGCTCGAAATGATGAGCACTTGAAGCGAGTGGAACAAGGACCTGTGAATTCCAAATTGAAAACAATCCAGTATCCCAGCGGTAGGTTTAAGGCAGTTTTGCGCTGGGGGATATTATAAAAGGGGATAATACGCGGGTTTAAGGCAGCATTGTGTTGGGGACAATGATGCAGCTAGGTTCGAACCGAGGCGTGTCTATTGCTAGTTGAAAATTATTTCCAAACGCCCTCTTAGGCCTTGAGCTTGAATCGAGCTCAAAATTGAGTTTGAATTGAGCTCAAATTTGAGCTTAAAATCAAGTTTGAATTGAGTTGAATCTTTAGCTTGAATTGAGCTTTTGAATTTTTTTTGAGTTCGAGCTTTTTTGAGTTCGAGTCGAGTTGTAATATTATCTTTTAAGTTTGAGTCAAGCTTGAAAATTTTAGGCTTGCGAGTTTTCCGGTTGAGTCAAGTTTATATTTAAAGTTTTTGAGTATGAGTTGAGCTCAACAATACTTGAGCTCCACTTGGCTCGTTTACACCCGTAGTATTGATACTATGTAAAGTAGTATTGGTACCTTAAGTGGTATCGATACCTGTTTTGCATTATGTTATTTCTCGGAGTCAAAAACAAAGAGGTAGTATCGGTACCATAGATAATGATATCGATACTACTATGTATAGGGGTGTTGATACCGGGTAGGGGTATCAGTATCACTTTGGCATTTGATGTTTGGGGTATCGATACTATAAGGTAGTATCGATACTACCTTATGAAAATCAATTTTTGACTCGATTATGGTTCAAAATACTTTGTAAAAATTGTTTAAAATATATTTAAATATAAACTCAAATTTTTATTTAATAAGGAGTAAAATTGATATTTGAAAACTTTGGAGTAATATTTGAAATATTCGAATAATTGAATCGAATATAATATTTTAAATCAAATATAAAATCTTAAAATTACTTAACACTTT